AATTTCCGGTTATGCGACTTTAATAAAATATAAACATCTTTAGTATGGATCTTTCCAACTATATCTGCAATATTTAACTTATTGGCCGTTTCAGTGATCTCTGTATCAATCTCGGATAGCTTTCTATTATATCTAACTAATTTGAATTTTTTCTGTGATTTTGTCCGTGAGAATTTTGTGTTAAATGAAGGGTTACATTTATAAATATTTTTAGATTTATCGGCTCTTACCTAAAAGTCTTTGGCGTTTCTAAGAGTCTTTATGCCTTTGTTTAGCGTTTTATGAAATTGTTGGATGGCTTCTTGCATTTCATTCTTCTTTTTTTTTGATTATGTCAAACATGTTCTTTTTCGAAAGGATCCAAGAATTTACAGGGTGGTGGAGTACTCTTTCTTTAAAAAGAAACCTTTGTCGTCCCACGCTTCTTAAAATTCATTGGAACAAGCCTTAATATACAAAGAGTTGATAAAACGGTTCTTGATATTATGCAACAGAGCTATTAAGTATGTATTAATAAATACAGATATTATCCCTCATCGATAGCAAGCATCATACCACTGGGCCAGCTACTCATATATATATATATATATATATATTTCGTTGAAAAATTCGACATTGTCTGTCTACTTATTTTCAACTGGATCCTTTAATATTCACGGTGGTGTCGTTATTGAAGGACGAGAGAAAATCACCGTGTTGATAAATATTTTTGTTATTCCGTGTACTTTCGACATAACACGATCTCATCGTCATGGTATTGTTTATTATAAAACCAATGTTGTAGTGTTCATTATTGTCAAAGACAAAATTGTTGTGTTCATCTGAATGTTAAATTTCTTACTTGTGGAGTGAAGAACGCTGAGTCAGTGCGTGTTCGCTGACACTGTTTAAGGCGAAGTAACTAAGTATGGTGGTGGGTAGTTTTACGAAATAACTAGTAAAACTATTAGTACAAACATTGGAAATTCCAACTATCTATTGTACACATTTTAAAATATTTGTGTAATATTCATAATTAATTTTAGTGGTGTTTTTATTTTTATTTATTTTTTTTTCAATTTTTTAATATAGAATGCTTCGAGAGTTTTTTGTTTGTTTATTCTTTTCGTAAAAAACTTATAAACATATTTTCGAGAAGAATTTTTTTGAATTGCGAATTTGGACAGGTATTTTGTTGTAAATGTTTAGAAATGTTCGATATATTATTCAAATGAAGACTTAGCCGCCGAGACTGCGTTGTTGTAGTGTGTCCAACATAAATATTATTTTTACCGTTGGAGATACAATCTTCCAGAGAACACTTAAATTTATCTAACGATGTTGGTTTTCTGCAACACGTTAGTGGGAGGGGAAGAGTCATTATGAATGATTGTATTTGATATAGTAGATTTAGTGTAGTATACAATTATATATTTTTACTAGGAGCTGTGGTAGATATATTAATATTTATTTTTAATTTTTTTAGGATATTTTCGTCTTGTTTATAATTATAATCTATTTGGTTGCGATATAAAAGATTGATATGTTCGGGATTAGTTGAGAAATATTATTTTCTATTTGTTCCGTATAAAAAGCTCAGACGCAGCATCTTATTTGTTTATCAACAATATAGTTTGGGAAGTTATTATTAAGGAAAGTTTGTTTTATATTCTTTTAGTTCACTGAAAGAAAGTCTGTTTCGTGAATGAATGAATATTTTCGCGGTTTATTAGATTTTTTATATACTTGCTATTTTATAGAAATCTGGACATTCACTCTTATAATTAACGGTACAGGAATATTCTAATAGTTTTTTTTTATATGAGGAGATAGTGAACATATTGTTATTAGTGTTCATCAGTATATATAGGAAAGGTATTTCGTTGCTATTATTAACTACATATGCAAATTTAAGGACAGAATTATCTTGTCATTTTTTGGAGTTAATGTATTTCTTCTGTATAAGGATATTATCGACATATCTTATGTAGATGGAGCTTGTTTTTTATTAAATTGTTAAAGAAGTTATTTTCGAAAGTATATGGCGATTGACGTTGCATTTAAATTTTGGAAGACTGTAGTCGAAAAGGAAGCTAAAATCCACAAGAGAGCTCCACAGGCGAGAAAAGAAACTATTAGAATAGTTTGTATCTAGATATTTCAGCAGTTACACAGTGAGACCTTGTAGCCAATCTTGTAGTACGATTAAATTCATGCAGTCGTGATATCAAGGAGAAGGCATTAGTACAATTGCCATGAAAATATTTATGGAAAAGTCAGAAAGCCACGTTACGTCGGAAAGTCACTGCCAGGACTTATAACATTACAGACACTTATTTGGATTTTATCAATAATCTCACTATATAAGGTAAGACACCACACTATACATAGCTGCAATATTCGATGCAATGAGGAACAAAGACTTTACAAAAAGTAAATTTATTCTTTCCATGCGTCAATTAATATTTTTATTAGAGCTTGATAAAAAATAGTTAATGTTGCTGTAATTAATTTAATATACATTTTTCTCAATGCATATATAGTTTAATTAATATTTGCTGATTATCTGGAAAAAAAGAGACAAATTGTTTTAGGGGATCACTTACATTTGCGCAGCATTGTAGAAGAAAATTCCACACAACATTTACCATGTTATTAACCGCCCACATCTTTCCCACGCTGTAAATAGTAGACATGGATGTATGTATGTTCTTGCACGTGCATGCATTCTAAGTGAGAAATGGATTACAATGTCTTATTTCAGCGGAAAAACAAAATTCACTGGAAGGGAAATGAATGAGCTGTTCGATCCGAGAGAAGAGTGACAGGATTTAGCTTCAAAATTATACAAATAAAATTGGTGTTGTCTCTAAAGATGGCAGGCGCACATTTTATTGGATTAAAAGCTGCAAAAGAAACCAAAACCCTGCTATTATACACTCTTATTAGGCACCCTCCATATATATATATATATATATATATATATATATATATATATATATATTGGTAAAAATCAATGGGTAAGTAATCCAAGTCAATCCTGACAGTATAAAATATTAAAACTGATCCCCATAAGAGAGCTCACTATATTTATTATAGAGCATATAAATGAATTACATAAACACGAAACTAAAACGTTTCAGCATTGACATGATCCAGGGGCTTTCTGGAAGGCAGAAATCTCTCGAGGAGTGAAATTGGCACATAAATAGGCTACAACTGGGTTTCATTTTTATGTAAATCACATACACACACACACTGACACAACACGCACACACACATACACATATATATATATATATATATATATATATATATATATATAAGAGGTTATAATAAAAATATTCTGAATTTCGCTACACAAATCCTTCCATGTTTCAATACTTTGAATATACTTCATCAGGTGGAGCTAAGTAACTGGTTATTAAATGACTTTTAAAAATATTTAAAAACAAACTCTTTTCCAAAAAGTTAAAATGTGGGAGGAACAAAAGGTCAGAAATAAAAATAAACTTGTTGGTATGTCATGATTAACCAATTAATTGCCAGATGTGCGGTAAGTAGAAAAGTCGGGTAGTTATTATTTCATGTCATAATAATCCGAAACATAGATCATCATTGACAATTGCGGAAAATATGCAAGTGACAAATGTAACGTGATTGTAGATTTCTACTTGGTTAATCTAAACATAAACACAAAACTATTTTTTTAATTTAAAAAAAAATCATTTAATCAACAGTTGCTTACATTTATATGTACTGAAGAAGTACAATCAACGTATTGAAACAAGAAATGTTTTGTGTAGCGAAATTCAACATGTTTTTGTGATAATCTCTTATAATAAAATAATAATAGTAATATGTTGCTCCACTTTGTATTGAGCACATTTTAAAAAGTAAATGCTACGAACAGTGGAAATTTACTCCATCTGCTCTTTCTGTCATTTGAGTATATATATATATATATATATATATATATATATATATATATATGTGTGTGTGTGTGTGTGTGTGTGTGTGTGTGTGTGTGTGTGTGTGATTCTGTATTTCACTGCTACTAGCAAGTAGAATTTTTTTCTCCTGATGATGGCCATGTTGGCCAGAAACTAGTTGATGAATCTAAATTAAATAATAATTAAAACGAAAAAATATTAATATACAACACAGTGAGTCTGTAGATTTGAATTTTGAAATATTTTTTTTATTGTTCAATATATATATATATATATATATATATATATATATATATATATATATATATATATTATTGGTAAATATACACATACATATGCAAAATATAAAAATATATATACATAGATGCATGAGGATAGAATCCAGGTAGAATTCAATGTCCAGGGCAGAGTAAGGATATAATAAAAAGGCTTAAACACTAATCTTCCATGGTCATAATTTATTCCATTGGAATCGTAAATACGATCCAATTCATCAGACCTACAAATTCAAAAAAAAAAAAAAAAAAAAAAAACAGAAAAAAACAACTCTGGAAATAAAAAAAAAGAATTTAGAGAGAGTGTAAGTATGAGAGTGAGGGACGAATGTTAGAGCTAAAGAGAGGAGTAACAGACGAGAGAAGGTGGGAGATTAAAACTTAACAGAGAGAAGTTTTAGAGAGGTGAGTTGAAGACGGTTTAAGTGAGAGAAATATGAATGTTGTCGGATGTCTAATACATTAAATATGTAACCGGAAAGGATACATTTGGTGGTGACATACACACACAATAGACGATCTAGTCTTAAAGATCAGAAGAAGAGGGAGGGAGAGGAAAAGAAAAGAAAAAAGGGATGGGGCGGGGACACTAAAACTGAAGGACATTTACTGAAAGGGCCGCTGTGTAATTAAGAAAATTTGACAAAATTAATATCGAATACAGGTTACAAATCAAATATAAACATAAAAATGAGCGTTTATGGTTGTATAGACGCAGCTTCCAATCACCGGCGGATATACCTATATATCTTTTTTTCTGGTTTTCATACTTACATTTACCCCCGATTGGACAATGGTCTTTATTCCTATCATAGTAATGAAACTCAATCTAGTAACCCTACCTGAAATTGTAGGAATAAAGACCATTGTCCAATCGGGGGTAAATGTAAGTATGAAAATGTAGTATACGAGGTAACAATCTTTCCTGAGGAAAATATAAACCAGAAAAAAAGATATTATAGGTATATCCGCCGGTGATTGGAAGCAGCGTCTATACAACCATAAACGTTAATTTAGATATAGATGCCTCAGAAATCAATCTTCCTCATCCAAACACTACTGGGATCTGGTGGATAAGGGACTAACCCCACTTTTAAAATGGAGATACTTATCAAGAGCTAGAACACCTAATAACTTCCGCGATCGGAGTGATCTGTGCATGGCGGAAAAAAATTATTATCAAAGATAAGAATCAAAATGAATTGCTGAATCTTCGTAATGAGATATTTTCTTAATGTAGACATAAGAAAAGATTCAAAACAGAAACACCGTTTTATAACATGTGGTCACTTATGTCAGTTCCATCTTGGTTCAAAACATTGGGCATGACATTTTAATGGAATGACTATTATGTTTATTATGTTTATCTATATATATATCATTGTGTATGTTTATGTGATGCGTTATGTATTTTAATATTTTTTTGAGACCAACGTTTTTTAAATTTTACTTTTTAGAATTTACATTTTGATTTATATGTATATGTATATGTGCGTACCTGTGTATGTATGTGTGTATACATGTATATATGTAGGTGTGTATATAGATATATGTATGTGTATGTATGGATGCATATGTATATGTATGCGTATATGTGTATATGTATATTTATGTATGCGTATATGGATGTCTATATATGTAGGTAGATGTGTATGGAGATTTATTTTGTCTTATACTTTCTGATGATATTTCCTACTGTACTTAGTGCTAGATTCATTTCTTTGCTAATTTTTCGGTAACCTTGTCCTCCTTTGTGACGTTCAATGATTCTATCTCGCATATCTCTGGATAATTCTATAGTTTTTGCTATTTTGAATCCTTGAATTGCAGAATGCACATCAAAGAGTAAGATGATTAATAGCACTACCTTGTAAAAAATTGTGTGCTTCTCTTATTGGTCAGAGATAACATTCCAATACTATCGAAAATTTGAATATTTAATGTCTTTTAAAATACAAAGTTTCGATAGGAAATTTGAAAAAAGTGTCATGTATCCAATACTTTTGCATAGGTTAATTTTGAACTTTGATAAAAATAAACGGATTCAACCATGAGTTTTTAATTTGCCTTCCACATACAACTAAAACAACTTTACGAGATATTACTTACCAAATATCAGGCAAAATGGCGAACATAAACTATAACAGAAAATAACATGTATCCAATACTTATGCGTGTCACTGTATATGCTTGTGTGCCTCTTTTTGTGTGTGTAATATAAGTATATGAATGAAAAAATAAGAGAGAATGTAATGGAGGAGCATTCATACGGGCATATTTATTTTTTACAGCGAATGTAGAAGGCCCGGGTAGTTCTCGGGTTAGGAGGTTAAATTAAGAGACAGTTTACATGCATAGGAGATGGAGATGACGTTTAATCCTAGACTTGAACGGGTTAACATTGCAGTGCTTACTCGGTTAAGTGTACCTCCGTTTTACAGACATCCATTATCTGAACGGGAAATGAAGAAAAAATTGTAAACATCCGCACATTTTTCAATTAGAGCCATTCTAATATTTCGTCTCAGATATTTTTTTAGAATTTAAAGAAACAAACCCAACGTTCAATATATATATATATATATATATATATATATATATATATATATATATATAATTATGTATTGAAAAATATAATTCCTCCGCTACACAAGATTTCTCATGTTTCAAAAACAAGAGCTGAAATCTACAATATAATTATTAGAATTAAATTAAATTAAAGTACAAGCTCTATTTCATCTTCAAGCGAAATTTTTATCTTGTGCAGTGGAGGAATCATATTCTTAAATAAATAATTGTATTTAGGCTCTACTTTTTTGTATCGAGCACTGTTCTTTAAAATAAAGACAAAATACTGAAGAACTTCGGATTATTTACCTGACGAGTTCTTTCCTATTTTCTACATACTTTCACACACATTTTCATATATATATATATATATATATATATATATATATATATATATATATATATATATATATATATATATATATACTGTAATCCTGATTCGAGGAGGCACAGTGGAGTAAAGGATAGCGGCTCGGGTTGAGTCGTGTTCGATTCCACTTGTATCCATTACATTCACTTACGTAAGGTATGAATCCTCTTTACCCCAAACTATGGGTAAATATCAGGACAGACTGGGTTTCTATAGCCTTGGGTGACAACTTATCTCAGAGAATGAAAACTCTGAAATCAAAACCCGATCTTCTACGCTTGGGGTTGTGCTGTAGGCTAACTACTCACTTAAAAAAAAACGGCTTGTTACAGAAACTACAATGATATCTTACGCTCCTCTCTTTCTCAAGGAATTTAAAGGCAGAATATATAATCCAGACTCGATAATTAGCGACAATAAAACACTAGGCCAACCGGAAACAAAAACTGTCGAATTTTCTTCATAAAGAATGAACTGTACAAAACTATAAAAAAGTGTTTCAAACTTTTTTTGATGATGTCTTAACGCGTCCCTTGCTGCTTGTCACTCATGATTTTTTTTAAAAAATGATGATTGATTTTAAATCAGTTTTACAATTTGTGAAGGAAAATGATGCATTTCAATATTACTTTTTTCTTCTATATTTTGTATAGGAGACATTCTCTTGTTCAAATTTAAATTGATATCAAAGTAAAAAAAAAAAAAAATAGTGGGGCGATTTGTACAAAAACAGTTTGATCTGAACCCTTTGATAAATATTTGATGTAATACTTGAATTCAACATTGATATTACAGTTGAATTGTCGTAACAAATATGTATTGTAAGGCACTATCCACTAATTGGTGATTTCTTGCTCAACTTGACGACCATAATGTCTCATTTTGACCTTGCCGATGTGACCTCCATCGTTTAGCTTTCACCTTCTTCATTTTTAACAGGTGTCATTCCATTGTTTAAATTTAAATTTAATCGTGATTTAAATTTAAAAAAAAAAAAACAGTGCTGTCGGAGACTCACTTTAATCAAAATGAAATATATTTATCTAAGTACTCAGGGTAATATCGTTTCAGAATATATCAGGTTATGGAGGTCTATTTCCAAAACCTTCGGATGAATTGGTGAACAAATTTCAACATTGATATATCAGTTGAACTGTCGCATCAAATACGCATTGTAAGGCACTACTGAAGTTGGTGATTTCTTGCTCAACTTGACGTGCATATTGTCTCCTTTTTATCTTGCCGATGTGACCTCCATCTGCAGGATTTCTCCTTCTACATTTTGGATTAGAGTCATTCCCTTGTTCAAATTTAAATTTAATTTAAATCAAAGGCAAAAACATATTAAGTTGGGTGATTTGTGCTCTCCGGGTTACCCTTTGATCCAAATGAAATATACGTATCCAAGTACCCTGGCTAATGTAGTTTCAGAATATACATGGTTATGCGGTCTGTTTCCAAAATCCTAGGAGGAATTCGATAACAGACCGGCAGAGGTTACAAATTATATATATACAAATATTTTTCTTCATCCATTTCGTTCTAGGTGTTCTATTGGAAAGAAACCTTATTTCCAACAGAAGTACCAACCCATATACATGTAATATTAAAACGCTTCACATCTTTATTTTCTACTCAATAAGAAATAGTATTATAATCATATCAAAGAATATCCACAGTACACGGCACAGTGTTTAAATCAATGTGCCTATTGGTTAGAAATGTGAAATATTTGACCAATCAGAGAAAATAAAAACAGTTTTTCGTTCTTACTTTCCGGAAGAAATTATTATAAAAGCCCACAGATTTCGACTTTCAAAGAGATGTGTGATTGTCTCAAAGCAGAAAACAAGAGAACACGTGCTTTTTCTTACATCCTCCAGACCTAGTTTGCGCTGAAAGAAACATATGTCGGCGAGATCAAACGAATCATCTTTAAAAACGTCGTGGACGACCAGTCGGTGACTTCAAACAAATCAACTCCAACTCCAACAACAAAAACGGTCAGTGAATTTTCGCTGACGATATATGTCTTTTCTGTGTACGATCTATTCAAATGTATTTTCTCAAATGCAACTTTTCATGTGAACAAGTTACCGGAAAAATGTTACTCAATTATAGGCTATTTTTGCTCCTTTTTTGACTCATTTCAATTCATGTATTTATGTTTGTAAATACAAAGGATGTGATTAACAGACATTCTTAGCTTTTCTTTATTTTTTATTTTATTAGCATTCGGACATTCGGCTTTTTAATAAAGAATAAAACGTGGGTAACTGAATTTTCTACACCATCCATACTCCATTTTTGCTCTGATCTGGTTCTTGTAGATATTTCTTGGCTTTTTTCTGCTCAAGTCCATGTTTTTTTTTATGTACCCCAGTGAAACATTAAAAAAATAGATAGCCAAAGGAAAAGAAACCAGCAGACTAAAAATATTAACAATAACATTAATTCCCATCCGTTTAACATGTCCGAAACTAACGCCACTTAGCCTTTTCCATATTTTGACTTAGCATTCCTTAAACGCAACAGAGCTTCATATATTTTAAAGAGTTCTCCAATTCACATTTTGACTGTTATTTTTTTTATCTGTGCATAAAAGCTTTCATGAATAAAATTTCTATATTTTCGCAATTAAATCTGCTGGGTTTGATTCTTCGCTGTCTACAAGAAGACAAAATGCATGGTCATCAGTAAAAGGATGAGCCCGAAATGAGATTTGCAGGTCGGGAACACTAAAATCAAGAAGGTGCGGAAGTTTAAATATATGCGAAGTGTTTTGACCGAGGACGTCAAGTGCGACACTGAGGTCAGTAGGCGTATTATGATGGCCAAAGACGCATTCAAAAAGCTGGACACAGTATCGCGAGACAGGAGGATCGCTTTGGTAACAAAAAAAAGAGTACTGAGCTTTTACGTGACATCTGTCCACCTTTAAGCGAATTTTGGACGGTCTTCTCAAAGATGAGAGAGAGACTCGAGGTGAAGGAGATGTGGTTCTACATAAGGATGCTGAGGATATCATAGGCCCAGAGAGTGAGCAAAAATGAGGTGTTGGAGAGTATGTAAAAAAGGAGGAGACTTATCCTTAACATGAGGAGGAGGCAGCTGAAGTTTCTGGGACACGTGATAAAAAAAAGAAGGTCTAGAGAATCTGATACTAACAGATCAAAGAGAGACAAGGGAAAGCAACACGACATACGTGGCCGGCTTAAGGACGTGGATGACAGATCGTGGTTTAGGGGAGGTGACAGTAGGACGAAATTTATTGAAAGCTAAAAGAGATAAGGGAAAGTGGAGAGCCATGATCTCCTACATTCTGAAAAGAACACGGCACATAAAAAGAAAAATATAGTGTGAGGTCGCTAAGTGATCGTTACGTGACCCAAAGAAAATAATTGTCTTTTGTATCCCTACATATTAATTCCGCGTCAATTTCGACAATCTTATTCCATTTACTCTTTATTTACTTTACAAGTACACTTAATTCTTCTTTAACTTTCTCCTATTATTATTATTATTATTATTATTATTATTATCTCCCTTTCTTTTTCTCTTTCTCCTTATCTCTCTTTTTTTCTATCACTCTCCCTTTATTGTCTTGCCTCTGTCTCTCTCTCTCTCTCTCTCTGTGACTTCCTGTCTTGTCTTTCTTTCTGACTATCGCTTGAAATCTCCTCTTTTCATATTCACTCTCTTGCTTTTCCCTTGACCGTTATTTTTTTCTGTTTTTCTTTCTTTACTTCTCTAGCATACTTATTCATTTTTCTCTCTCGCTTTCACTACTCCTCTCCGCCTACTCTCTCTATGTCTCTCTGTCTGTCTCTCCATTTTTTTTTCTATACCTCCTTACTATAAAGAATTACGTTTTATTTATTCTTCCAATGTTTCTTCTATGTTTGTTTTTTCTCTCTTTCTATCTTTCCCTTCCTATCTGTCTCTTTATCTTCCCCTCTCGCTTTTTATTTCTACCTTTCTATTGATACTTTTTCTCTTCGTCTCTGATTCTTTTTTCTTCTATTTTTCTTCTTCTCTGTCTTTCTTTCTACCTTCTTTTTACTTTCTGACTCCTTCTAATTTTATTTTATTTTTCTCTTTGTCTCTTTCTATATTTCTCTCATATTTCTTCTTTCTCTATGTCACGAGGTCTGCCAGTCTTTATATTCTTTCTCTGTTTTCCTACGTTCTCACTTTTTCTCTCTTTTCTGACCGGTCTCGTCTCGTCTCGTCTCGTCTCGTCTCTGTCTCTTTATTTTTCTAGGTCACTTTCTATCATTCACATTTCTTTCTTTCTTTCTTTCTTTCTTTCTTTCTTTCTTTTTCGCTGATTCTTTCGTTTTTCAATTTTTCTCTTTCTGTCTCTTTCTCTTTCTTTTACCTTTATCTGTCTCTCCCTTTTCACTCAGTATCTTATTTTCATATATAAAAAAAAAAATTCATAGCAGCATACGGCAAATGAAATTTCATATCTGACATTTCGACCTAAGGATCACCACAAAACCAGAAAGGGCCAGTAAATTCCCTCGCAAGGCCCTAGTCATTCATTTCTGTCGGCTGCTACTCTTAAAATACCAATAGATTTTCAGGGGAAACGGAAATAGTTGACTAAATTGTCAAACCTACACTTCCTTTCCTTCGACAGATGTCGCTATATCCCCTGAAGGTATTGAGAGCAAATACAGGATGAAAATGCTGACCTCAAGACCGCATAGACCCCAGCAAAGACGCATATAAAAGTTTTGACCACCAAATTATTTCCTTCTCACGTTAATATTTGTGTTGCAAACATTTTTTTTATTCCTTGAGTACATACTCGTTTCAATGAATGACTGGCTGCTTTTTATAAATTTGAGCTCGGAGTAGCAACACAAAAATGTTGAGATTCCAATTAAATTTGCTTCTACAGAGAGTTACTTAAACATGGCTTTTAGCTTCTTGAATTATTATTATTGTTATTATTATTATTATTATTATTATTATTATTATTATTATTTGTCTATGTTATGTTCCCTGCTTTGCATACTGTAGCCATGCCCAAACTATAGTCCTTACGCCCTATAGGAGGATTTTCATTTAATTGAAAGCACTTTTCTTAGTATATGCGATGTTATTATTACTGTTGTTGTTGTTATTATTATGATTATTATTATTATTATTATTATGATTATTATTATTATTATTATTTCTGTTGTATACACAATTCTTTCTGGACCTCAGCCAGAGAACTAATGTTAGGAATGACTTTTTTCACTGATTATTTCTGTAAAAAGAAAAAAGAAAACTATAACCACACACATTTTACATAGATAAAGCGCTTCGTAATGTCCGAGATATACTTGTGAGAATTTTTTTTTTCTTTTCGTCATGGGCTCCCAGGAATTTTTTGAAAGAATCTATTTCTAATCAATCCGAGGGCTCCAAATACAACTGGCATTTTTGATCTCCTCATGTGCCATACTTTTGAGATTTCCATTTCAAGGTCCTTGTATTTTTATAGTTTTTGAAGATGTTCACATTTATATTGTAGTATGCAGGGACTGTCACGTCAGTAAGAAACACATTTTGTTTTGGCCTTATAATTTGATTAGTGCTAATACTATTACTACTACTACTACTACTCCTACTACTACTATTACTACTACTACTACTACTACTACTAATAATAATAATAATAATACAAATATTAGAATATTATTCAAATATTTCTGCAATGATCAGCTTTGTGTAACTTTGTCTAGAGTAATAGATTTAACATAATGGCAAAAATATCTTTAAAAACTGATGTCTTGTGGAAAAATTTTGTTAAGACAAAGATTTTCTATCATCTTTTAAAAATATTTCTTTCACCTTTTACTGAAACCATAGCTTTGTTTTCTCGTACCTTTGTTTGCAAATTGTTTCAATTTAATTTCAAGTTTTTGTTTTTCTTATCATAAGCCTATATTTTTGTTGGTGGAAGGTAACTTCTCTTGAGTTAGAATTAAGTGATTGTCAACTCCGCCACAGACAAAAACACGTCGTTAAATAAAATTAAAACAAGTAATTCGTATTTCATGTTCAAATATCAGTGGCTTTTTTGTTTCTTTAATGCATTATTTTAAAAAGTAAATATTGCGAATATTTTACAGAAGCAATCGTTGAACTGATTTATTTTGGACTAAAGTCTTAGTGAGTTAGTTTTTCTTTTACTTGTGACTACAATTTTTCTCATGTAATAATCATATCTGCTCGATCACGATATGAATATCCTGCCCTTGTTAAACCGAATCCGTCTTAGTTAACTCACTACTACACACCTTGAGGAGAAACTAGTCGCAAATATTCACGACTGACAAATGTAACCTAATCTACACGGTACCATAGTGAAATCTACCGTATTTCTTTAAGCTTGAAAAAGAAAGACTTTATGACACAAGTTTATAAGTACTTTTGTCCTGGTTTTGGTGACTTGTTTTGGTGTGAGAAACCTCCCCCACGTTTGTAAATGTATTTTTGATACCTAAAAAGAGCTTCAAATCCAAACAATGTTTTACTTGTCTTATTTACTCTGTTCCGAATATTGATCATTTCTACCCTACAAATATAGCATAACTTAAAAAATTTATCATACATACATACATACATACATACATACATACATACATACATACATACATACATACATACATACATACATACATACATACATACATACATACATACATACATAGGCAGGCACCTCAGCGTGGTGTAATGGTTAGCAAGCTTATCTCGCTAAAACAGTTACGACTGAATAGTGAGTTCGATTCTCATTGGGTGCCCCATACTTTCGGCCTTGTGCCACATCTAAGCAACGCTTAGAAAATCAATGGGCACCTCGGCGTGGTGTAATGTTTAGCAAGCTTGTCTTGCTAAGTCAGTTACTACTGAAAAGTGAGTTCGATCCTCACTGGATGCCATATACTTTTGTGCCTCATCTAAGCTACGCTTGGAAAATGGGCACCTTGAGGTGCTGTAATGAGTAGCAAGCTTGTCTCGCTAGAACAATTACGACTGAGTCGTGAGTTCGATCCTCACTGGGTGCCCGATACTTTCGGCCTTGTGCCACATCTCAGCCACGCTTGGAAAATCACTAGATAGATAGATAGATAGGAATTTACTTAGGAGAAACAAGTAAAAAGTTGGAGAAAGGACAAGCAACGTTATCAAAGAATTGTAAGTGTCTACACAGAAGACTTTGACAAAGAAAGATCGAAAAGGAAAGATTTTAGAATAATTCCCATATCCAATGAAAGGAGGTACAAAAAAAAAAAAACAGAAGGCGAATCAAAGCATCGACACAAAAAATGGGTCGGGTGGAATGAAAGAAAGGAAGATAATTGATTTTGTATCGGAAATGACGTGACATATTTTAGTATGCTGTCCGTCCCGCTCCGCAGGGAAAACGATTTGATTTAAATCGATTTTTGTCTCTGGTTGATTTCCGATCAAAAAAAGATATACACTCACATCATAACATCAGGCAATGGACAACCTATCTATCTATCTATCTATCTATCTATCTATCTATGTTCATATCTTACAAAGCTAGAAAGATATGAAAAGACTTACATATATGGCTAGCTAGTTAGACATATATCTGTCTTAGTTTTTTTTCCTTATATATCTTAGTCGTTTCGTATCTATGTTATATAAGTGGAATTCAGTAAAATGTTAATTGTAGAAATCAATACTCGTAAGGGTCATGGAATAGTCACATGGGTAATTTCATATCTATCTATCTATCTATCTATCTATCTATCTATCAGACTTTCATTATCTATCTATCTATCTATCTATCTATCTATCTATCTATCTATCTATCTATCTGTCTGTCTATCGCAGTGTTTTCATTAACTACAGGGCTTGAGGAGTAAATTGTTGCCATTTTATATTTTTAATTTCGAGCATGCGCTATGTATTTTTTATTTTGTCGACTGCGCATTATAGAAGGGTCAGCTGGGCACCGTCTGCGGGAAAACGAGCTACATGACGCAATTCACTCCGCGAAAAATTTAGAAACGGCATGCTGTGCTGCTTTGAATTGCGACGGAAGCTCCAATACGAATTTGTCACTGTATTTGGATGTCAATCTGAGGGCAGTACAGAGAATTCGGAAAGAGTTGTATTAGTCTAAAGGTATGATAATTTCGAAAACTCACTAGAATCGTTCTGATTTGTTGCTGATAGCCTCAGACTCAACACGAAGACCTACCTGAGGAGGTCGTTCAGCTATGGATAAAGAAGGTGAATTCTAGAAGAGCCTATGTCTGGCAAAATGAGTCTGCACCATGTAATACATGCAGGAAAACACAGTCATGGCTGTCATCAATTCCTACAGCCGCATCACCCCTTACATATGGCTACCTAACTCCCCAGACTTCAAACCATTTGATTATTAGGTGCGAGGCGAAGTTGAGAGACTGACCAACAAATCTCCTTGTTAAAGTAAAGATGAACTGAAGGAAAGGGTTATGGCGGCATTCACAAACTTATTCAAGGAGACGGTACAGAAGTGTTTCATGAGATGCCGAAAATTTCTGGTGTTTGTGTTTGTGGGGTCAAAACACTATGAAAGTATAAAAATAGGGTTTAATATCAGCAATACATATTTGCAATAAGTTTATTGTCAGCAGTTAATTTTTGACGATAAAATTATTGCCAGCAAAATATTATTACCAGCAACACATTTTTCAAGAAAATAAATATTGCCAGCAATGCATTTTTGGAAAAAAATAAATATTAGCAGGAATACACTTTTGAAAAACATATTGCCAGCAATAAAAACCTTGTCGGCATTACATTATCCACTGAGGTTGATATGCCGTGAAACAAAATATTCAGAATTTCTGTCGGCTGCTATTCTTAAAATACCAACAGTTTTTCGGGGGAAACGGAAATAGTTGACTAAAGTGTCGAACCTAGACTTCCTTTCCTTCGACAGATGTCGCTATATTCCCTGAAGGTATTGAGAGCAAATAAAGGATAAAAATGCTGACCTCGAGACGGCATAAACCCCAGCAAAGACGCATATAAAAGATTTGACCACCAAATTATTTCCTTCTCACGTTAATATTTGTGTTACAAACATTTTTTTTTTATTTCTTGAGTACATACTCGTTTCAATGAATGACTGGCTGCTTTTCACAAATTTGAGCTCGGAGTAGCAACACAAAAATGTTGAGATTCCAATTAAATTTGCTTCTATATGGAATTACTTAAACATGGCTTTTAGCTTCTTGAATTATTATTATTATTTTTTTTTTTTTAATTATTTTCTTTGATTTCTGGTTTTTACACATTACTTTCCGGGTCCCGCCCAGTGACCTAAGGTTAGAAATGGCATCATGACACTTTCCACTGACAAAAAAAAATACATAGATAAAGCCCTTCGTAAAGTGTGGGCTGTACTTGTCAGAACAATTTTTTGTATCTCCTTGAGGCATGGACTTCCAGGAATCCCTTCAATTAGTCTACTGCAATCTTTTCCAACCAGTCATAGGGCTCCAACTACAACAGGGATTGTTGATGTTCCCATATGCCACATTTTCGAGATTTCTATTTCAAGGTCTTTGTATTTGGACAGCTTTTTGAATATCTTCAAAGATACATTGCAGTCAGCAGGGACTGCCATATCAATAAGGAGGCCCTTTTGTTTTGTTTTTGGTCTTTAATAACAATGTCTGGGCGGTTGGCTTTGATTGTTCTGTCAGTGTGTATTGTGAAGTCCCATAGAATTGTAACAGGTCCTATCTCCATAACCTGGTTTGGGTGGTGTTCATACCATTTTCTTTCAGTTTCCTTCCCGTAGATGTTGCAGATTTCCCAGTGCAGATATTGGCCCACTCTGTCATGTTTTATACTCAATGGATGCGAATATCGTGCAACCTGATACAAGATGATCAATTGTTTCTGGATATTTATCATTGAATCTGCATTTTGGTCTGACACAATATTTTAGTATATGTGCTTGATAAATCCTAGTTAACAAGCATTGTTTCTATGCAGCAAGGATAAAAACCTTCAGTTTCAGCTTTCAGCCCTGCACTACGTAGCCACTGATGGGTACGGGTTTTGTCTACGTCAGCTTGTTTGGTACGGGCAGAGTATTAGGCATGGAGCGGTTTATCTTGCCATCGCTTCTGTATCTGGTCGGTTGCATTCGTCTTTGCTGTCTTTTTTTAAAGTATTTTGCAGTTTCAGTCTGTGTATTGCTCTGTACTTGCATCTCTACGCCCATTTGAAGCTTATTATCATTATTATTATTATTATTATTATTATTATTATTATTATTATTACTATTATTATTTGTCTGTATTATGTTACAATGTTACTATGTTATATTACAAAATATTCAGAACCAATACGTGGGGTGCAATTATTATGCCTATAAAGAAATTCAGGAAAAAAACTATTCATTGCAACCGCTTTTTCTGATCCCACTGGAGAACTCTGAACCACTAAACTGATAACATCAACGGGTAAAATGTTCTGGTAACGAGGATGGACTATTGTAAAGGCACTGCAACTTTTGTTGGAATTCAGTAAAAATTAATATGCGTATGGATCGTAAAATTATCGTTGGACTAACAGTACTTACATTATATTGTATTTTTGCTTGATACTGCGCTAGTTAGTAAATTACGAATTTACCCATGCGTTGCGTCCATTGCTTCGGATAAATAATTGACCATACCACTTTGATTAAGGGGAAAAGCACACAGGCAGGGGTCGTCAACTCATTCGACCCCGCGGGTCGGATCGTATTATAATGACGTGTCGCGGGCCGGATGAAGGTGGATCAGAGGAAGATAACAGCAGGCCTTTTGTCGAATTCTAAAGCCTCGTCTCTCATGTTAAAAATAGACTCATTAGTAATCAGGCTCGCGGGATGGTCAAAATGCCTTCGCGGGCCGGATCCGGCTCGCGTGCCGGATCCGGCTCGCGGGCCGTAGGTTGCCGACTCTAGGCTGAGAAGTTCATAGGTATAATATAAAGTAGATATGAAATCTTGCATGCATTAATTTCATGTCTTCTTATTAATCACTGCATTGTTTCTGTCCAGATAACAGGGTAGGTTGAAAAGTTGATAGGTTGACTAGGAATGATCTATCTATCTATCTATCTATCTATCTATCCTGGTCTGTTTCTATCTATCTATCTATCTATCTATCTATCTATCTATCTATCTATCTATCTATCTATCCTGGTCTGTTTCTATCTATCTATCTATCTATCTATCTATCTATCTATCTATCTATCTATCCTGGTCTGTATCTATCTATCTATCTATCTATCTATCTATCTATCTATCTATCTATCTATCTATCCTGGTCTGTTTTATTTCTATCTATCTATCTATCTATCTATATATATATATATATATATATATATATATATATATATATATCCTGGTCTGTTTCTATATATATCCTGGTCTGTTTCTATCTATCTATCTATCTATCTATCTATCTATCTATCTATCCTATATCTGTTTCTATATATCTATCCTGGTCTGTTTCTATCTATCTATCTATCTATCTATCTATCTATCTATCTATCTATCTATCTATCTATCTGGTATCTATCTATCTATCTATCTATCTATCTATCTATCTATCTATCTATCTATCTATCTATCTATCCTGGTCTGTTTCTATCTATCTATCTATCTATCTATATATATATATATATATATATATATATATATATATATATATGCATATATATATCCTGGTCTGTTTCTATCTATCTATCTATCTATCTATCTATCCTGGTCTGTTTCTATATATCTGTCCTGGTCTGTTTTCTATCTATCTCTATCTATCTATCTATCTATCTATATATCCTATATATATATATATATATATATATATATATATATCCTGGTCTGTTTCTATTCTATCTATCTATCTATCTATCTATCTATCCTGGTCTGTTTCTATATATCTATCCTGGTATGTTTCTATCTATCTATCTATCTATCTATCTATCTATCTATCTATCTGTCCTGGTCTGTTTTTATCTATCTATCTATCTATCTATCTATCTATCTATCTATCTATCTATCTATCTATCCTGGTCTGTTTCTATATATCTATCCTGGTATGTTTCTATCTATCTATCTATCTATCTATCTATCTATCTATCTATCTATCTATCTATCTGTCCTGGTCTGTTTTTATCTATCTATCTATCTATCTATCTATCTATCTATCTATCTATCTATCTATCTATCTATCCTGGTCTGTTTCTATATATCTATCCTGGTATGTTTCTATCTATCTATCTATCTATCTATCTATCTATCTATCTATCTATCTGTCCTGGTCTGTTTTTATCTATCTATCTATCTATCTATCTATCTATCTATCTATCTATCTATCTATCTATCTATCCTGGTCTGTTTCTATATATCTATCCTGGTATGTTTCTATCTATCTATCTATCTATCTATCTATCTATCTATCTATCTATCTATCTGTCTGTCTGTTTCTGTTTTTATCTATCTATCTATCTATCTATCTATCTATCTATCTATCTATCTATCTATCTATCCTGGTCTGTTTCTATATATCTATCCTGGTATGTTTCTATCTATCTATCTATCTATCTCTATCTATCTATCTATCTATCTGGTCTGTTTCTATCTATCTGTCCTTCTTTTCTATCTATCTATCTGTCTATCTATCTATCTATCTATCTATCTATCTATCTATCTTTATCTATCTATCTATCTATCCTGGTCTGTTTCTATATATCTATCCTGGTATGTTTCTATCTATCTATCTATCTATCTATATCTATCTATCTATCTGGTCTATCTATCTATCTATCTATCTATCTATCTATCCCTC